AGACTTTGGGGTGGGGAAAATAGCATTGTGGTGTTGTGTGGTTGGGTGGCGTTGACGCGGTCGAGAAGAGAGAGTGGAATAAATAAATTACGTGTGGTAAGAAAAAGGTTAGATTATTAGTTAGATAATATTATTATAAGGAGAAGAAGACAAGAAGACGACGCGGGGAGGCTCTGGTTTCCACCGACATCCCTTCCTTTCCCTTCTCTTCTCTATTCCGTTCCGTTCCGTTTTCCCTTTTCCCTTTTCCCTTTTCCCTTTTCCCTTTTCCTTCACCTCCAATCTCAATGGCTGATAATGAGAAGCAGCCCAATAACGAGGAGGCAAGTCCTCTTCTCCACCAGCCCAAATCCCAACCAACTACGCCACCCGATACTCCCGAGTTTCTCCTCGGATGGACCGCAGATGGGCTTCCGTTGGGCCATGGCAGCGTCGTCGGCCAGCCCATGGGCCGAGCCCCCTGGAATTCCTCCATCTGCGCTTGTCTCGGCCAGAACGATCACTTCTGCAGCAGCGATCTCGAAGTTTGTGAGTTCTCCCATCCTCCCTCACTTGCCTATTTCATTTCAACGTTTTTCTGCCTTGGTAATTTAAGGATGAATGTTTTGTGTTAGCTTTCTTTTTCACCTCTGCGGGTATTGTTTGTTCGTAATTCTTTTGGAATGAATGCTGTGTATTTCGGTGATTTCAGCTGCAAGATCTAGATTGTATTGTAGGTATCTCACGTGCTCCATTTGAATTTCCTATTCCTAAACCATTGCGATCAATGAAACCTTTGTTAGTGTGTTTGTACCATATAATTGGGTTCCTTTTGTGTTTTAATCAGGTGCTATTGCTATTTCTGTGAAGAAAAGTTGATTGCGGGTTTTGGGCATTTCGATGTGTTTCGATCTGGATTTATAAAACATTTATTTACTTTGAATTTTTGTTATTTGCTAGGTCTTCTTGGGAGTGTGGCTCCTTGTGTGCTGTATGGAAGCAATGTTGAGAGACTTGGATCGGCTCCCGGGACGTTTGCTAATCACTGCTTGCCTTATTCTGGACTGTACGTAATTGGGAATTCTTGCTTTGGTTGGAATTGCCTTGCACCGTGGTTTTCCTACCCTAGCCGAACTGCTATTCGTCGGAGGTTCAATTTAGAGGTATGTTACTCTTTTATTCTTTGCCCTTTTATAATTTAGTGATGATGTGTTAAGAAACCAGCACTAGGTGAGGGTGTAATGTGTTAAGTGGCAAAGGAGTTGGCATGAATGGGGTAATTAATTGCCAGGATGACAGTGGGAGGAAATTGGAGGGAAACTTCATTGCAAGCTGCAGTCAAATAAAATGAGAGAAGGGTAGGGGAGATAAGGAAGTAGGATAAAGGACTGCTAAGGAGAGATCAGGCTGTGTCTCAAATCAAATTCCCTATGCTACTGTATATTTTTCCCCTTCAGATTAGTCTTCTAATCCCTCTATATTGCTGCTGAAATCTCACTGATACTGGGGATTCAATTTGTTACATTACATAGCAGATAGTACACACCCTTTTCCTGCGTGATCCAGTCCACTCACAAGTGTTTTGTATCTGATAATATGTCGCACCTGGCCCAGCTAAGATTGTTATCTGGACTTGGTTATTAATTGATAAGCCTTTGTACTTTAAATTTCTTTTATATATCAGCTATAAATAATTAACACAACCTCGAGAAGTGGTGTAGCAGTACAACCCAAGTAGGCTATATCCAACATACAAATTGGGTTGTCTACTCTGTCAAGCATGAGAGTTTGGGTTCCTTATCTTTATAAAATAAGATATTTTAGCCTTATAACTCAGCATTACTGTTTAACAAATCTTTCCAAGCTTCTGATCCTAAAGTTGATTTGAGAATTTTGGTTATGTTGACTCCTCTTCTAACGTTTGTTTGCATATTTTACACTTGTCGATTTAGTTTTGGTACAATGAGGTATATGTCGAGTGTGGTGAACCTGTATTTAGTATAATTTTTTGTGACTTTTATTAAGAACGTAGCTTTAGTCTGTAGCCTTACTTTATGAAATCGAATTGTGTCAATTATGAATTACCAAGGAAACAGTCCTATTATTAAGAGGTGATTTGGATTAACAGAACAACTTTGGTATTTTGTATTTGGACTTTGTTGGGGTTTAATTGGTAACGTAATGGTATGCTTGAAGTTTTGTTCAAAGTTCTTTTTAACTTCATTCAATGTCCAACTTGTAATGCTTAAAATTACTTGGTGTCCTCTAGTACTATTTTATGTATGATGTCATGTCATGTGATGTTGCATAGATGGAAAGCCTGTGTAAGTGAGATTTTCCTTTATCCACCTCCTGTTTTTTTCTCCTTATAATTTGCCACTCTCCCTCGTACACAAAAACCACATCCCTAAGTTATGAAAAAAATTCAAATATTATATAAATCATTTATTGTTCTTGGCAATCAGGGAACTTGCGAAGCACTTAATAGGTCATGTGGGTGCTGTGGAAGCATTTTGGAAGATGAGATACACCGTGAACAATGTGAGTCAGCATGTGACTTGGCAACTCATGTCTTCTGTCATGTGTGTGCTCTTTGTCAAGAGGGTCGTGAGCTCCGTCGTAGGTTACCTCATCCTGGCTTTAATGCTCAACCGGTACTGGTTATGATTCCCCCCGGCGAGCAGACCATGGGACGTCAAACTTGAAGATTCGCCATCATCTTAGAAGTGCTATTCTCGTGTATGTCACTGTTGCCTCTATAATTTGATGTTGAACCATGTTATGACTTCATCTAAAAAGGGTCCTGGCTTTTTCATTTTTTTTATAAAGAAGATCACTAAACCTATTAATTCTGTTTGCCTCCCTTTTATTTTGTATCATATATAGATTTGAATCATGTGGGAGAAATTTTTCTCCCAGTATCTATATGTCTATGCGTAACTACTATTTAATGAATTGAATGAAAGAATGTTACATTAAGTGCGTAATTCTTGTATGGTTATGTACTTTGGGCTTGTTTCTTCAGGCGTAAATACTGAAAGGAAGTGTAACGTGAACAATTTTAATTCCTGAGACTGGGGTGCAGCTTAAATGGTAATCATATTTGCATTGGAAATGTTTGTGACGGAACATGTCTAGCTATGGCCTCCACTTTTACGCCTTTCCTTGTCGGAGGACAGCAAATAGAGAGTTGTTATCGCATGCTTCTGCTTGCTAGGGTGACATTTGCTTGAAAGGGGTCTAAGTAATTTTCATGGAATAGGTAATGTTCCTTGCGTCCAAATTGCAGGGTCGACCACTATCCCCTTTCTTCGACAATAAATATGTTCGTCCAATTTTCTGCATTCTATAGATATTCTTCTTGAAAAAAAATAAATATACTTTAATAATATACATACATTTTTTACATTAATTTGATATTATTATTTTTATCTTTTATTTTTTTTCCTTAAAAAAAATATAAAATTTTATTTTTTTATAACTACTTTATTCTTATACGGTGTGTGAAAAAATAGTATCGTATCATTATTCTTCTTGAAATGGGTACGAGAGGTGTTATATCATCTCATTTATGCTTTTCATTGCGGAAATTGAGCGTTTTTTTTAATAGCATTTTTATTTATATGACTTGGCTTCCAAATTTTGTTTTAAAAGATTGAATTTAGATCATTAAAATAAAAAATATGTGGGCTGTCTACATAAATATTGAGTGAACTATTGGTAACAAGACTTGTAAATAATTTTCTATCTCGCACTTTAAATTAAATATTGAAAAATCTGTCCCCAAAAATTGAATATGACTAACTTGTTCCATTGTAAGAAAAAATCATGCATAAAATGAGAAACAAATATTTTAACGTGAGATACGTTATAACCAGTCTATGTCAACTTTAAGAGAAAATCAATAGAACCAACTTTATTAGAAATCGTGGTTAGATCAAATCTCGCATGACCCCAAATGTAATACTTTATGAAAGTTAAATAATTAAAAATATAAAAATATAACTATAATAACTTTTTATCTTTATTATTGATTGAATTTCAGTTTTTCTCTCTATTTTCATTATTATGTTAAATTTTAATGGTACACCTTGTCTTCATTATTCCATATATTTTTTTCATATATTTTTCCTCTCCTCTTTTATTCTTTATAACAAGTTATAGAATTTCATCATGATTTAATTACCAAGGTGCATTTATGTGTTGCCTTTGTTCTTCAATGCATGAAATAACTTCTTTTAGTGTTAACAAAAAATCACTTTTTTAAAATTTGAGTTAATAATAGTTTTGACACTTATTTTTACTTATTTTGTTACAACTTCAATGTAGTTCGCTTCTTCTTCAATAACACAAATGCAAAACTTAACAAGAGTATATTAATCACAACACTGAAAAAAATTATCCCAAATAAAAAAAAAGAAACATTTGTAGAAGAATAAAGGGGTTCAATGAAATTAAAACAAAATAAACCACATTTGAAAAAAGAGAATAAGAAAAAATCAACATTTTCAAAAGAACAAAAGAAATTTGACGAAAAAGCACTTTAAATGTAAAGCAAAAACGATTGTAAAAGAGATGATGCAGACAAACAAAGTTTCAAAAGAAAAAAAATCGAATAATCATGATGTTAGAAAATCCAGATTGCAGTGCCGCATAAAAGATAAACCGATCTACTATTCAGTCTGTTACCTGTCGGCCTAACACTAATCTACCTACTATGGAGCAATGAACTACTGCAAAGATTGTAGCTAGCACTTCATTTGTGTTTCCCGTTTAATTGTAAAGTAAAAACTGATAGAGCAAGAACTGAAACAACATTTCCCTTCGTAAGATTAGCAAAAGGAACAACTCCTTTAGGTCCCTTAGAAAAAGGAGCCTGGGTCTTCAGGGGTAAAAATATTTGGTAATCTTCCCTTGTATTCCCATCCTATATACTTTTAAAAAATCCAAATTTCTCTTTTCTCAACTCGTCAACCAAAAAGAATCAGATATGAATGATCAGTTAGGGAGCAAAATGGTGATTTAAGCATGAAATAACCAGTCCCAATAACATTACTAAAGCACTAAATTATGCGGTTAAGCTTTCCATCAGTAATACACGGGTAGAAAAGAACAAAATCAACGTCATGCAAGACTCCACAGAAGAAGCTTTATCTAAATAGTACAATTTAAACCACAGAACATAAACTGAGTACAGAGTCTACTCTCCAGGTGCAGACACACCTTGTTTCAGTCTCTCCTTTTTCATCTTTTTCTTTGAAACAGGCTTCTTTTTTCTAGGAGGGAGGGTCTTCTGTGCATACGTGTAGAGCACAAAGTTTCCAACGAGGAATGTCAACAGCAACCCACCAACAACCAGGAGCACAATTAAGCCTGGGTTGAGCCCTTGGTTTGAGGCCTAAGTATAACAAAACAAAAAGCACTGAGCAAAACGAATTGCAGATAAAATAAAATCGAACTTTTTTAAAATAGACAAGCAATTCATCGTTGATGACAATGTTACTGATACACCAACATGTGAATTTTAGTCCTCTCCAAGGGTGGGTCTCTAATTTATAAAACTACTACTGCAGAAAAATCAAATGATTGAACTTGTTTGAGAATGATTGATAAAAGAGGTTATCATTAATAAGGAAGGTGCAATATAGTTGAGAAAGCTTGATACCCAAAAAAGTAGGCATAGATTTGATTCCTCTAATAGATGTAATTTAAAAAATAAAGTGTACTTAAAACCACTGATTACAAAATCAGTGATTGAGAACTGTGATAAAAGCAAATACATATGTAACAAAATCAAAAGTCTAATACAGTCTGAACCATTGATTTTCTAATTAATGGTTATTATTTCACTTTATCCTCCGCTATGTTCAGAGAAATCAAACTCTGTCAAATGATTGATGTGAACTGCAATACACAGAACATTGGAGATATTATATAAAATACTTTTTAAAACTATTTCGAAGCACAAGTCAAATTTTGAAACAAGAGAAATAACACATCTCGTTACAATATTATTCTCAACAAAAATAGGATATTCTTTCATTTTCTCTTAGTGACCAAAACATTGAATATCATGACATAACACTTGAGTCTCTTTAATTATGTTTGAATAGGTGGTAAAATATGAATGACATATCGTCAGGACACTAAGTTCTATTGTTTAGATGTTTTAAGATAGGTTGGAGTGAAGTCGAACCCAATGGAGATTTTACTCCATCAATAATCTCTCTTTCTTTCCCCTGATTTGGGAGGTACGGGTTAGAATAGAACCCTTACAAAAATTCAACTCATTCCATTCCATCATAAAATCTCCAAAAACGTTATTCCACTACGACAAACCCCATCATTTGCTGATAACTTGTGGAAAAGGGTTTAATTGCATGAAGTTGAGACTAACCACAATCCATTTGCTCTGTAATATTGCTAACATCTATAATTCAAAACGTTGATTGGCACCAACATCAAAATATACAAAACAGCAACGCATTGAATAACAAACAAAATGTAACCTACACAAAAACACTTGACACCACAATTTACGAAACGTAGCTCCACCAGATCATAAAACTAGTGCAACAAACGATAGATTTGCGTAACATAACAATCATTACTATAAACAATCCGATAATCATAAATAAGTCGTTTAATCTGAACACGAAATTTACCTGATCAAAATCCTAGCTGAAGAGCTGAACGATATATATTTTTTTAAAAGAAAATGAATCCTAATTTAATTTTCGCTAAATCTGTAACATTAGAATCGGTGATAATTGGGAACATTGAAAAGGTCAATTACGGAAGAAAAAAATCAAGCAAAATGCTAATGATTCCACAATTCCAAAGATCTGAGAATAAAACACGAGAGGACCACGTGAAAGGTTCGATCTATAACTTTAAGACCTAATTAAACCGTGAAAAACGTGCAAGGAGGAACATTGTTCAGGAATCCATTAAGATGAGATGTAAAGGAATAAGCGATGATGAAATTGAAGGTTTGCAAAAGTAATTGAAAGTGTACCACTCGATCGAACGAAGGAGGAACTTTATCTGCGAACTCGAAGTCATCGGCCATAGCTGACGCTGAAAACTCGTGTTTCTGTCAAAACAAACGGAGATTCCAATGCAAATGTGCACCACACCTCAAAGAGGGTTCCAGGAAACACCCACGGCCCATGGATTTATTTATTTTGAACCCAACGAAATCGATTCGCTGTTGTTTTTTTTTTTTTAAAAAAAAAACACAATTGAGTTTAGTTTTTGAAATTAAAAAAAAAAATCAGTTTTTAATTCTTTTGGATTTTTATTTATTTATTTATTTTTAGTTGACACTTTAAATGATAACAACAACATATTTTTCAAAATAAAAATTGAAAGTGTTAATTTCAAATTTTTATGAATTCCTTAGAAATAATATAATAGAAAATATAATTCAGAACTTAAATATTGATTATCTAATTTTTTTCGATGGAATATATTACTCGGACATTTGTATTATGGGATATGGAAAGGTTAAATATAAAAAAAAACATATGGATAATGATATTTTTACTTAAAAAATAAAAAAAATATTTTAATAATAAAATTTTAACTTTATATCTATTATATGTTCTTGGATGTCAATATGTCCATCTACAGTCAATAACCATGATAAAATAGATTAAATATAATTAATTGGTAATTGAGTTCAAGTCATTGATTAATCTTTAAGATTTTTAATTACCCTTAATTCAAATAAGCAATTTTGAAAATTAGAACTATGACTTATTTAAGAAGGCTGATCGAGTTTTTAACATGTCATTGAGCTCCATATCATAAAGAAGGGGAAATACATATTAGACATATTAAGAATAAAATATTATCAATGGATTTTGATTTTATCTTATATCATATATTACCTTTAACTATGGGATTTATTTGGACTATAATTAATGGGTCGAGTACATATTAGATAGTAGATTATTTTTTACTATAATTTTCTCCAATGTTAAGTTTTATAAAACTCACGTTTTAATAATATTTTTTGTATATTAATTTTTTAGAACTTACACACGTATTTAATTATTATTTTAATCCTATTAAAGATAATATTATAATTAAGTTAAGATGGTATTTAATATTAAAAACTTAATTAATTGATATAATATAATTTTTATTTGTAAATATTAATTTTTGATAAATATTGATTAATACTTATGTTTTCCAAATTTTAATTTTGAATAAACATTTCAATTTTTTTGTTAGTTATTAGTTATTAGGAAATGATTTGTTACTGTCTATTGCTTTAAAATATTTCTTATTTTTCCCCCCTAAACTTGTTGAGAGAAAAGTTAGTTTTAATACTTATTTTTATAAGAAAAATCTTAAATTTCATGTTATATCAATATTTCAATTAAGAATAATAAGATGCATAAATCCTAAAGTCATAACAATGTGGGAAAATCACATTGTTTTTAATCCTCACATTTCCACTCTATCAAATAATAAATATTTTTTCACTTTTTTTTTCCGCGTCTTCTTCTTATTGCCTTCTAGTTCTATTATTATTGTTCTCTACTTTTTTACTACCATAAAAAACTATAAATTTATATTTGATTTAATGTATTCTAAATTATACTAATAAGTTTACAATTTCTTTCACATTTAATAAAAAGGAAAATGATAAGTGGACAATTCATGTGAGCGAAGACACCCATTTTAATATCACTGTTTAGGTGGCATGTTATTATTATCTCTCGTGATAACCTACCATTATCGTCTTTTTTAGTGAAACATTTATATATTTTTGAAATTATATTTTCTTAACTTTATCATTAGGAATATATAAATATGCAGTAGAAAATAAATTATAAATCGAATTTATTTCTCATATACAAACCATTTATATAGGAGTATTTTTTAAAATAGTGGCTACAAAAATAGTAATATAACATATTGTTTAAATCTTTCCCATTATAGGCTTACGTTTTTTACTTTTGTTTCCTAAAGTAGTGTGTAAAGAAAGAAAGTATAGATAGGACAGGGTAGGGTTGAAGCAGGGGAAAAACCATTGTTTGATTGATGTAATAAGAAGAAAGAAGCCAGACATGACACCGAGAACGATTTCTTCGGTCACATACGCCAACAAAAAACAATGGAACAGCTTGTGAATTCTTGAAACCCCACTTGTGAGGCAAAACCACATCATAGTTGTAGGGTCACTCTTTCTGTTGTCTGTGTTTATCTTCTTCCTGCTTTATCTACCTAACTAGTATTCCTCATCACAACAAACTCATTAACTAAGCCTCCACATTTGGTTCCAATAAGAACCTTCCCTTTTATTGCATAGCAAACAAAAAGGAGATGGAAGAAATCAGCATTCACGTTGCACCACCTACCTCTCTCATCATGCTTTTATTAACATACAATTATTTGGCTGTGACATGTTATGTCACATGTGGCGGCTGCTCATATATGGACCGTAACTCATTTTTGGTGGATTTCTGAGGCCACAGTTTTAGCCCAGAACCGAAGATGTTTCTTCATATTTGCGGATGAACAACGTTTGGGAATTTTCATGTTTAGTAGTGGGGAATCTGGTCTCTTTATAAGCCATGCCTCTGATAAATATGGTCTCATGATATCTCTCTTTTCTTCCTCTGCTTCCATGTAATGTCCTTCAACCGTCTCTTTCGAATCCATAACACCCAGTCTCTGCAAGCCCGGAACAACGCTCATCATTCTTGGGCTTAGATATTCTTTCTCGAATGTGAAACCAAGATCCATGAAACCCTTTACTTCATCAAGTTCTAGTTCCCCAAAAGTTCTGCAGCTTACGGATTTCTGCAGTTTCCTTGCACAAGTAACCAGATTCCTCGATTTTCTGTGACGGTTTTGAGTTGATGGGGAGGTTGAGTGCGAACGAGTTTTGCTACCCAACAAAAGGTCCATTCTGGCCAATCTTTCCTTTGTTTCTTCTTCATTGTTGATTGATCCATCCTTTTAAATGAAAACAAAGAAAAAAGAATGGTCATGACGTGAATAAAAAATGAACTCAAATAATAATGAACAGATAGAATGTTGAGAAGGACTAACTCTGACTGCTTTTCAGTTCTACCTGAAGAAGAACGGATATTGATTCTGATGGGAGTGGTTTCTCTGAAGAAGCTGATTCATCCGTTGAAGTTTCTTCATCAGGTGGAGGTGGGGAAGAAAGAATGAAGGATGAGCAAGACGCAGATTCTGATGTGGGAATAGGTTTTTCTTCATCTGGTGGAGATGGTAAGGAAATAACTGATGCTGTTGGACTTGGCTGTGAGAAAAAAACGAGTTTGTGAAACCAAAGACTATCCATTTCTTCTATAGTACATAGAAAGTTTTTGTTTTCCATTGCTTACGTTTGTGTATGTGTGTGTGAGAGAGAGAAAGTGAGATTTGCGTATGGAAAGGCTGAAGAGAGTAGTGGCTTGTCGGCAAGTGTGGTGGTGGTGAAAAGAAAGAGAAGTAGAGAAGCGAGTGAAGGCAAATGAACGTGGAGAAGTGTGTGGGACAACCTTGGACAACTAAGGGTGTGGTCATCATGGACATGGGACGTGGATTCTAAACTCCACAACTTCTATGTTGATAAAAAGACTGTTCTGTCCATGCTTCAAAACAGAATACGATGCTCTATGCATGTCACAATCATATGCTTAAACTAGTTAGATCTACCAAGTTGAGTGGATTCATGATTCATTCTAGCATGAGATGAGACTGAGGCAAGGCAAGGAACCAAATAAATGGTTTCTCGTTTAAGTCCAAAACTTACTTTACGTTTGTAAAAAGAGCAAATGTTCATGAAGATTAATGATCCAAAAATGGATTCGGGCATCTTGGCATTACAGTTGTCATACCAACAAAATCTGATTTGCTAGCTGGTTAAGTTCAATCTAGAGTTAGGATGGGGAATTCCGACATGGAAAGGTGCTACTAATTGCATGATTGGTTTCACCCAGAGACACCACTTATGGGATAATGCATTAGTCAAGTAATAGTGACAAAAAACCAAACTGTTCTTTCTATCACTTATAGTCTTCTCTCACCTTGGATGTGACATTTTGACGCTATTAAGCAAATTCACCCTTGCATATCATGACTCCTTGTCCTCTTCTAAGACGACAAGTGAGTTAACTTTACAAGAGGATTTTCATGTTTATATGTTATGGTTAAGCACCTGTTGATTTTACACGTTATGCAAACGATTATTTAATGGAAAACTTCTTGTTTGATCCTGATAAACAAACAACAAAGATTACTATATTAAGTAGTTCAGAAAAATTTATTGAACTTCTAAAAGTATCTTGAGATTCTGCCGAAAAGTGAAAAGTTCCAAGTACAAATAATGCATGTTGTCATCTACTGCAATTGTATGCACATTAGATTTTTCTGTATCAGCGGAACAAATTAATGCATGGATCCAAGAGATTGAAACATGATCACAATTTCACTGCTACAAATCTGATGTTCAATAGAATCAATACTATTTGAAGTTGTAATCCATGTACACAAAATGTTTATTGGGCAATTATAATTAGACAACACCAGGAGGTGGATCACTTGATGAGTTTGCCTGTGTTTTCATGGGATGCTCCAACTCTTGTACAATTTCTCCTTCACTAGAGGAACGAGTGTTTTCACGTAGCCCTGAAGAAAACTCAAGGGCACTCTTATTTCCTTGGTTCCATTCTGAAGACATATGGCTAAAACTAAAAGACTTCACAAGTTTCTGTTGCTTCCTCCTTCTCTCCCTCACCTCAACATGCCACTGCCTCAGAATCTTAGCCAAGGCTTTGCTCTTCACCTGTGACCCCATCTGTAACAATCCAATGTTAGCCCCACTTCAGATAGGAACTGCTAAGTGTCTGTTTGCTTTCACTATGGGAACTATCATAATTATTTTTTCCTTCTTTCCAACATGATTTCAGCAAAGATACAAAAATGTGCACTTATTGTTAGGTAAAATCAGTGTTCTCTCCAAATGTTGGTATGTTTACAAGCAACAAAAATTAAATTCTGCATTCAATGGAAAATTTTGCACTTAAAGTTTTACAACAAACTTGCTTTTAAGATAATGTAAGTCACTTCACTTTAAAATCAATTTTATCAAAGTTAACCAAAACGCACTCTCACACTATTACATGAATGTCTTTATAGAGTTTACCTGTGCCACTAGTGCATAGAGGGGAAGAGTTACATAGCTGCATAGGACTTGAACTGCCACCCTGAGAAAACAGTAAACCAAAATGTCACCTAGGATCTGGAAAATTCACTCCAGGAGAATCAACATGCCGTAAGAAAGAAATTATAATAAACTTTAGGCGGTCATTACGCTATCACCACCCTTATGACTGTAAATGTTCTATGTTCGTGGTAGCAAGAATTTATTCCAAACTGTGTCTGTCAATCAAGAAAGCAACAGAGAAATAAAGAGAAGGGTGTTAAGGTAGTACATACATTGGATCAATATTTCTAATTTAGACCTGTTAAAAAAAATTCTAATGTTGATATTTTTTAGCAAGTAGATAGAGAACTTACCGATACCCATATAAAGAAGGCAAGCTCGAATGCATTCTGTCATAATGAAATTAAAATCTTAGTCTAATAAGTGATTTATTGTGTCATGATGGATATCATTGCAATTATTTGTCATATATACATGTTCACAGTGACATGAATCCAACTCAAATAAAGAAATGATACACTTTTAATCTAAAATCCTATACATTTAGTTTATAGGTCTTTTTTTCTTAGAAGAAGGTTTACCACAAATAAAGTGTAATGCAGAAGTGTTAACACAAATCCTGGATGGCCAAACCAGAAAAATTCATCACTTGGAGAAACAAGTGGGGTCCCTTTGGTTACACTGTTGACATCTTTCATCTGAAGAGCCATTTCGTCTACAATGACTTCAAGTTTAGCTCCTACAACCAGAACCAGCTGTAAATAAAATTCAGAAAAGCTGAATTAGAAGCCATGCAGATTCATAATTAGTTAGGACTGAAGAAGATGCAACATGCTTGTTACTCACCAAGAGGGGAATATAGGATAACCAGAGATATACATGCCAGCCTGATATAGTTCATAGAGAGAAAAATAACTAGTGACTTAGACATAGAAAAAGCCTTTAAAGAAATGGAAATGAAAGAGTAAAACATTCTAACCATGTACATCCACGAGCAGAAAAATAACAACAGTGAACCACATCACAGGGCTGCAAGGTAACACACACGGTAACATGTAATTAAGATGAGCTCTACACAACTCCAGTTTCATCTGAAATTAAATGAATGGACTGATACAACATAATTTGGTTGGCAAGTAACAACCTAATGCTCACTATGATTCTGAAATCTTCCTCAAGTGACTGTTCAATGTACTTTTGGAAGTCGAAGTTGCTGTTTCTAGCTGAAAAGTGAGCCTGAATGGTGCATGGAAACATCTTAATGGGAGGTTTCACGATAATAACAACAATAATAATCATGGTTTGTCTATAATAAATAGCAATAGTAATCATAGACTTGAGTTTGATGTGTTATGTGTACTTAACTGATATGAAACCATGCCTCAAGGTGAGGTAATCAACTTTTTCTACTGAATGAAAGAACTGTCTGAAAAAACATTTCTGTCCAAATTTCACAAATTCGTAAACAACGTTAGCCATAAAAGACTATGATACAAAATCATGTCCTTGTTGCATTTATTTAAGGTCGACTCATATAATCAGAATTCTCTTAAAAGAAATGCTTACAATCCAAACAGACACTGGTGATGCGGTAGTAGTAGATATGTGGCGTCTTCCGAATGTTGTTTGCCTTGTGTATCTGAATCTATTAGGGTCTGATTGTGAACCACAAACGTTGTTGAAGGGTCAATTAACCAACAATAAAACTTCATAAGACGTTGTCTATTCTATTATGCCAAATGATTTTGTTAGCATTATTCAAAAGAATGATTAACAAAACGAAGAAAAAGACGTATAACCTATTGATATGATAGATGATGATAGTTGAAACAAATTACAAGTATGGTAAAAAATTTGTATGAGAATTTAATATTGAATTATTTTGTAGGGATGATAATGATAACAACAGAGAAGTGGGGTCTTAGGAAAAACAGCGTTTCAACGAGTCAGAGCCATTAAAATGTTTGGTCCTCAAGTGGACCAAGTTTAAGAAGTACTTTTAACGTATCTATTCCGGCGTTTTGTAGAAATTAAACTACAACAAAATAAAAAAAACAATACAATTTTACACACATTTTATATATATTATTTTACTTTTGAATTTCTCTTTTTATTTTTTACAAATATCAAATTTAACTTTTATAATAATCAAAATACTCCTAAAAATAGATTGTCAAGTGATGTGTACAAAATTATTTGGACAAATAATTAGTAAGTTTAGAGGCTTAAATATAAAAGAGAAAATAAATAGTTTAGAGGATTAAATATGAAAAATAATGAAGGATCTTTTTCTTTGTATGCGACGAAAATAAAGTTATGGAATAGTAGGAAGTGGAATACAAACAAATTGGGCAAAATAAGACCCTTTCACTCATCATAATTAAAAAATGAGGACCCCTTTATGCATCAATGATTAGTTTCCGTTTTATTTATTATTAAATGAAAGGTCTTTTTGTGTTAGATATATAGTTTGATATGACATTTTAATTAAATTTTAAAACCTTATGTTATGCCAAGTGAATGCAAAAATTTTGTTTAGTTACATGAACGAAAAACAGACGTGCTCATAAATATGTGTTTGTACTTATTTAAAATTTTTAAAATAATACGAGTCATTAGTAAATATTATAATGAAAAATTTATGAAAAATAAATTTTTTAAAATATATTTATTTAATTAGATGTTAAAAAAGTAAAAATTCAATGAAACAGAAAAAAGAAGTAAATTCCATATATGAGATATTTAAAATAAAAAAGTTATATAAAGCTATTGTAGGAAAATTAATGATTGTGAATATGAAGAATATACTTATATTTAAAGATAATTTTAAAAAAATATTTACAATAAATTAAGGAATTTTTATTATAGTGTTTATATATATATATATATATATATATATATATATATATATATATATGTTTATATATATATATTTTTTTCAGAAGAAGAAACAATTATTTATATATATTGAACTTCTATTCCTTGTCTATTGCCAGAGCAGTAACATAAACGCATACAGATTTATTTCCTTTTATATCTTTTTATTCATTTTTAATCACAACTATTCAACACGTCTATTGTTATCATTGATGTATATATTTTATTTTTTTAAATATTATATATACATTTTATTCTAATTAAATTTTAAATAAATTAAAAGTTTCATATCATGTAAAAATAAAAAGTTAAATAATCTACAAGAAAAAAGAATCATAAACATTAAATCTTAATTTTTTTTTAAAAATAGTATGATATCTTTTATATGGATGATTCATAACCCAAAAATGATCAATGTTTCTAATTTATATCAGTAAAAAAGTTCCAACAATATATGTATTCCACAGAGTTATAGTTTTTCTGGAGGAAGAATTTATGTACCTAAACTACCAATTATTTACATGTAGCATTCTTCTATTTTCTTTCTACGCTAGAGCATTAATATACAACAAACTTTTTTTTATAATTATATTATTGATATGAAGTATTCATTAAAATTTTTGAATTTTATCGGTTTTTTATGAATTTAAGTTTGTAGGCTTTAGTGTTAATAATATAAGTTTCTTTTATAATTATATTACTATTCGTGTTTGATGGTGTTGGATGGAAGTGTTCAAAAACAAAATGAAAAAAGAAAAAAATGGAGAAAAACAAATTATGCAGAGACAAAAATATTTGGTGCAAGTATAAAGTTTTAGAAAAAAAAACTTTAAATAAATGTTTAGATTTTAGTTATTCGTAAATCGAAGTCTAAGATTCCGTTATAAAAATAACTGAAGTCTAAACTTCTAAACTTCTGTTAAAAAATTAAATAAAAAAATTCCAATGATATTTTTGAAAATACTGAAATTTTTTAGACATCGATTTAGATAAGAAAAGCTAAAATGTGTACATGTTTTAGTGTTTATTAATATCAAAGTCTAAACGTTTTTAATAATTTCAAAAATACCATAACATTTTAATACACTTCGATTTTCTTAAAATAGAAACATATTGAAAAATTAAATAATTTTCTTCACTAGCTTTTGTAAAATTTCATTTAGTTTTTCATCTTATAAATAAACTTGTCTAAACAAATTCTGTATTATATAATTTACACATGATTTTAATTATAATTTGTTATAGAATAAAAATATTTAAGCATCTCTATAAAATTAATTTTATCGAATGAAATTTCTTTCAAAATTAATTGCACAACACTCAGTCAATACACTCTAACTTCTAATTTAATTTCAACAGAAAATCATTACAGAACAGGTTGTAAACTAAATTACAGACTGACAACTCAATGTAAAAACCAATTAATTCTTTGAATATAAAACTTTTTTTAAAACTTGTTACTAAATTTCATGATAATTAAGTAAAGCTTATCAAAACAAGTCAAGTAATATGATTTTATTAACTGAAAATTTAATTAGTGATTTGCATATAAAACAACTTTACCGTTGGCAATTTCATATTCCATTGTTTGAGTCTCTTCATCCCAAGCTTTCCAGTGCCTTATCTGCAAATGTTATTCAAATGATATTGTAAAGTCATATAGAAGAATTCATTGGCCATGAATAAAGAAATATGGTTATTTATGTCAATACCTTTGTTAACAAAATATCAAATAAGCTTAAGTCTAAGTAAGAACAAAATAATTTTATAATTAACAAGCATTCAATTTTATTTAATTAAATAATGGTTAAACAATAATCAATCTCCAAATTACATTTATATAGCCTTCTCATGTGGGAGCTTTTATTTTCTTGTAGCTTCTCCTTTAGGTTTACTGTACATCGTTTGTAGACGACTAATATATATACATTTTTTTTGTAAATAGGTTAGAGTAAATACTCTATATTTATTTATTTATTTATTTTTGATAAAAAAAAGAATATATTGAGTACAAACAATGAAAATAATGTATATCACATTAAAATTTCCAAAAAGAACTACTTTTAATTAAGTATGCATGCAAAAGTAATTTATTATATTTTTATGGATTAAATATATTTTAGTTTTAAAATTTAAAATTGAAATTTATTCATAAATTTTTATACACTTGTACTCTAAGTTTTAAAAGTAAATAAATATAATTTCTTAAATGACATTTTTTTACATCTTAATAACATTTTAGACTTACATTTAAATTATTTTCAAGATTTAATACTTTTTGAATTTTTTTAATTCAAATGTGAACTTAAAATAGATTTTAACATGAAAACAAAGTTAATTCCAAATATTATATTCAATACTTTCTAAAATTTGGTAATAAAAATATATCAAGATTTAAGACAAAAATAAATTTTGATTTCATTCCAAATTTAAAGACTAAAAATAAATTTAATCTTATTTTTGTATTAAGTAAATGATAAAAAAAAGTATATAATCTTGTCCATGATTCATCATATTCATTGATTTTGAGAATAAATTCTTATTGTTTTATGTAATACTGTCCAATATTTTTTTTTAAAAATAGTTACATATTAAAATAATTTTCTTAATTAGAAAATAATATTTTATATAACATCCTATTATATTATATTGACAAGGGGAGTCGCATAATTATCCTGCCTAGCTATCTTTTAAACATACCATCCATTGTTTGCATTTGTTATTTCTGAATTAGATTTCTTGCAAAGTAGTACTTAGCTTTTGAACTAGTATTAAAAGATTTAAATAAAAAAAATGATATAAATTATGATGATTTCACTGTTGAAAACTATTATGTTTTACAACATATAATATGACAACTGAAAAATAGTCATATTTTACATTTGAAAAACTGTCAAAATTCACATATAAATTGTGACATGTGACCTCTGTAACTACACTTTTTCAGTTTTATCAAATTTAACTTCAATTAAATCATTATTTTCTCTGATTTTTCAATTAAATCAATTAAGTGTATGATTAGACATTTTTTATAATCATGTATAATATTAATACATGATCTTATCTCAAATATTTCAAGTGTAGAAACTTCCACAAAGCTTACAAAAAGAAAAGTAAAAGTGAGATCTCCCTGATTCTTACCTTAGCCCTTGCCAGAGAAACGGTGAGAATACTGTACACGATTTGCATGACAGCTAGAACAAAAATGAACATATGAAGTTGATGGATTCCATGTTTTGACACTAAAGCAACCTCACTAGTCTGCGTATGTAAACAGAGTTAACACTGATCAACAGTCAAAAAATTTTCTCATGTAGAAAAGTAATTAAGCATATATATATTCATACATTTTTGGCACTGCAAGAATCCAAAATTGCAGTATCATTGGTAGTACGTTTTCGACATGGAAGCATAGTATCTGCAGCCCTCACTGGAATGCAGATTTCTATTATAGCATCTTGAGTTACTGTCAACAACAGCGACATGAATCCTAAGATCATCAGCTCTGCACAAAACACACACACTCAGCGATTAAACCTTATTCAAATATCATAACATAATTCATCTATTAACCTGATTTAAGCCTCTCTATTGCTTCCACCAAATCGCTCTTTCTATGTTTCCTCAGCCACTGTAACCATGTACAAAGATATTATTAGTGAAATACATATATATACATATATATATATATATAATCGGATTATTAGAAGGTGAGGAAAAGGGTAAGTATAAAGTTTCTGACTTTGATTATGAGATGGATGAAATGCTCCAAGATGATCGAGATTGAGATAAGAATGAAGGAAACAAGGGCAATAGCCCATGTTGGAGTGTGTTGTAAAGAATAACTGGGTGTTGCCATGTTCGTCACCTGAAATTGTCGTTAAAGTTTGTTGGTTTGTATAGAGTTGAATCTTTCTATGTGTAAATTTATTTAAGGGACCATGAACGTGTCTCCCTCATACACATCACTCTCGTTAGCTTTCAAGGTTGGACAATTTTTCAATCCACTCACATGCTTCTTAATACGCGCCACTCATGTCTTTTCATGAATATTTTCGATCTAAAATCATTAAGTGATGTGCATTCCTGACTTTTTCCCTTTTTCTAATTCCTGTCAGTTTATGTCATTCTTTGAGGATTTTTCCATGGAAGCTCATTTGGGCACAACCCAACACCGTCATTTGGAGATTCCTGTCAACTGAGGAAGCTTGAGAGGGTCTTTCACCTTATAAAGACACAGGTCATCAATATATCTTTCAAGTCCAATTCCATTCTTCAAAACTACTGAGCTAAAAACCAGTAATTCATACTACATTTATTCCCAAAAACCATTTTTATATACTAATGAAATACATGATTCCAGTTTTTGTTTCACAGTTCAGTTGGATCCGTTAGAGGTATTTTCATCCTATTTACTGACACGTGTATTAATGTGACATTGACGTATTAACGTAATTAATTAATGACTAATTGGCTGTGCAAACATGCAATCAGAAAATTGAAAAGAAATCGATACATTCTTTTTCTTCACTCAATTATTCGTTAACTATTAAATAAATTTTGCTACCAAATAACATCATGATAGTGTATGTTTGATTGACACATGTAATATGATTCCAACATGTTGCTATCATCACCATGATGTCATGTTTATCCACACGGACATTATTGTACACCTCTTCTTAAAATGATTCAAGAATAATGTGTGAATTGCGAAACAGTAAAATAAAAGCAATGAATAAATATAAAAATAGAACTGAATAAATCGTATGTATTGAGTTAAGTATTCCAACCGTATGACTCATTTTATCATATAACTTATTCTTTACAAAGGAAATACACGAGACGATTACAACTTAGTTAAAATTGTAAGCAAAATCATAAGTACCAAAATATATATCATAATTATCAATCAGTAGATGGTCTAACATTCATATAAACGAACTACATTGTAATGTTAGCATGAGTCATGATTATAAGAAAAGACTGATGTGTATTAATATACCAAGGATGATGAAATATAAGTTCCCATTAATATATTCAAATCTATTTATATATTTCATATCTGACACTGCGTCCCTTTGTTATTTAAAAGTTCAATTAGGAATAAAAAACATACAAATTATTGCAAAACTATCACATTGTTTTTATGTTGGCTACTCCTGAAGATTTCTATTGAAAATGACCAAAATAACACTCTTTTAAGTAAAGAAAACAAAAATAAAAAGAACATGTTACCATTTCCATAACTATTTATTAAAACATGAAAAACTGAACATTTTCTCCTGTCAAACATGAATAAATTAAAAAAAGAAAACAATTTCAAGGCTTCGAGTAATTGAGATCGAAGCCGAAAATAAATCAAATCCATTGACATAAAGTAGCATTCCTCTTACAACATTTCGAAAGCAAGGTTGTTTCCTCCATTTGAAAGGATGTCTCGAAATATATATACAATGATATTAATTATGCTACACTACAAGTTATTTATCCTTTGTATCCTCAGCCAATGCAGAAGCTTTGCAGATAGGGCATAATTTCTTCACAGATAACCACTTTTTAATGCAGCTCACATGGTAGTCATGTCCACAAGTTTTAAGTGTTCCAACATCGTCCAAGTTCTTGTACTCTTCCTGTAATTTTCAATAAACCTCGTAAGCTTCCCATTATTGTTTATCCAAAAACACGTAAAATATTTACCATTACCATGAATGGGAGAATAAAAAACATACCAGACATATCACGCAGTTTCCTTCATCTTGACTTTGCTCAGATGAACAATATATTGTTTCCGTCAAACATTTGGAAAACATGTCCTCAGAGAGTCCTGTGTTCACATTGCCAATCCTTTCACCTAGTGCAAGTAGGTCCTGGTCAAACCAATCATCAAAATAATTAGAAATTTTGAAAAGTCACTATTAATTGTATTGTAACACAAAAAAACTGTAATAAATATATAATCACCTCATAAGTCATGTTATCTATGTCCATTCTCATTTCTCGGTGCTGATCAAGCATATTCCTGGAATCATACACCGATGCACGCTCAATAACCAAGAAACCCTGAAAGCCAACAAAAATACAAGAAAAAAAATTGAGTTAGCCAGTACTAGTAATACCAGAAGGAACAATTTCGCTGTTCTCAATGAATAGGTCTTATAACTGGTTCAAAGGGATATATTAGACTAATTTAAATTTTGCTAATAAACAAAACATCAACACTGGTTAATAGAGTGGCTTTATGTCCAACTCAACCTTTGCATACCAATTCAAACGGTAAAGATTGTCTCCTCCTATATACTATAACTCATAAATATCTTTAGTCGATATCAATTCTCCAACTCACCACCATGTTGAGGACTGAAAATTGGAACGTAAAAGTAAATATTTAACAGGTGCTGTGCTTCAATAACAACCTTAACAACAAATATTAAGATAGTTCCCTATATCATCTTAAAATGTAGATTTAAGACATAAATACCATAATTATATACCATAATCTTCTTGTAAGGTAAGGACTGTCTTTATTTATATACCATAATTTCATCATATATACATCTCCAACATTGATGCAAGCATAAACAAGCCGTCAAAATTCCAGAAATTATACAGGTGTGTATTTCCATTAATACTGACACAAAAACAGTAGTTTCTTGAGATACTGCGAAAGATACCTCAGAGGCAAATCGTTCGGCAAGACCACTCTCCTCAGTCAATGTGCGATATCTTTGACTTGAAATTCTTGACCTCCCATTTCTATCACCATTCCGCCAGCCAAGGGTGCTCAATGGCCTTGGATGTCTAGAAGAGTAACTTTCAGCTATCATAGGCAATCCTTCATCCAAAGATGTCAAATGTCCCATGCGCAAGCTTGAAGAAGCCCCAAAAGTTGGAGTGGATCTCTGAGAATAGTTGCTTTGAATTCCCCTAGCATTCTGAGTTTGATTATTTTGAAAACTTTGAGTAGGAGCAGGATTTCTGCTTGTACCATGATGGAAGCACCCAACATCCACAGAAGCATTGCCAACAGTAGCCCCACTTCCAACAAGGAAATGACTTGTCTCAAGACCAAAAGCACTTGTATCTGCATTCGAAGTCAGCTTTTTACATATAAAGGCAAAAATAATGGAATGGGTATGTATTGATACTAATATTCATCCACAGGAAACTAACCTGGTAATAAAACCCTTCCATTTGCTGGAGATATGTTCATTTGGCTCCAATCCCTTGTCAATGTAGAAGTCTGACCAGAAACATCCACCAAACTAGAATGGTCTACTGGTGGGAGAGTAGGGTAGGAAGTGTGAGAATGATTAGTGGATAAATGGGTCCTTGATGGGTTGGAGTCCAAATCAAGTGTAGAGCGGCTCCTCACATTCCGCAAAGAACCCTCACCCTTTATTGAAAGGCCAGTACCTCTGAATGTGGGTGTCATAGTAAAATGATCCCAGTGCATATATTGAGAATCAATATTTGGCTTATCCTGCCATAATTCCGAAGATATAGGAAGATCAGTTGAACTTCCAGCATTGAAGTATCTACTTGTACTGCCTCTCTCGTAGACTGGAGAAATTCCAGGGCTCTTACGCTTGTGAGGCCCTTGTCCACTTCCCATTGTAAGATCAACAAAACTACTATCAACATTAAATGTATGTCTGTCATAATTGGAAGAAGAAGGTTGGTGTACGTGATTATCTGACACTGTAAAGAATGCTCCAGCATTAGACGAATGCACAAAATGATCATTATTAGAAGTGCCTGATGCATCTGGCTGATGAGGAGGTACATCAATGTTGTGACCTGAGGATGCATATCCATTTGACCTTGTGGAAGAGTTCCAATGAGAGGGGAAAGAAGTGTTATCTATAGACATATTGTCCGCAGGATAAATAAAAGAACCATTCTCTGAAGTGCTAGTTCTACCTGCAATAGTGATCTGTTTAAATGAGCAATATGGTGCTGGCACATTCAACTAGGCTAGTTTCTTTTTATTCTAATACGGACTAATGAACCAAATACGAGTAGAAGTGAGGCGTATATAACATTACCAAGGTGCACATAGTGTTGATCAATGTGCATATGATTCCAGTTCTGATCAGGCTCACCCTCAAACAATGGAGATGTGTTATATACATGCCTATGCCCCATTACTGTCACTTGGAATCTCTGTGTCAAAATAGACACCGTAACTGACTCAGATCTGCAAATAATTCACTACCTGCAAGTCAAAGAGCAAGCATCAGAGCTGAAGAAATTTAATATCAAAACTAAAATTTAACAATCAAACAAAGCTCCTTCCAAATTGCAACAGAGAAAAGCTTTAACAAGACTGTAGTGTATGCAATAATATAAAACAAAAATATAACTGCTATTAGATACTGGGTGACACCTAAACTATACCGATTAATGTGTACCAATACCATACGTATTTCTCATATAAACCTGTTCAAATTAATAATGTAATAGAGAATAAGGCATAACTGAAAGACTTGCCTGGATGCTAAATTCAATGCAGACACTTACAATGTCGATTCTTATTGCATGTAGAACCGTAAGTAAATAGAAGATATGTTGATCAAGCACGTACTGTTGAATGTGAACCTAATTTATCAGCATGTTTGGATTTTACTTCGGTTAAAATTTCATTTTGGAGTAGATACTTTTATCTCAGATTTGAATTCGACAAAAAGTTGATAGGAAATCAAAAACACATTGTAATTACTGAAAAAATATGTGCATATTTTAATAAAATATTAAATGAGAGGATATAATACTAAATTTTCAAGGTATTTTTGTCAACATATACAAAGTGTTTTTCCTACCGCAAAGGTAACAAAGTATATTGCCTGAAGTGCCAAACATGATTGCACCATGTCAGTAGTCTTTTTTAACACAAGCATGCTTTTGGACTTGGTGGTAAAACCAAACATGCTCTAGATCACTAGGAGATATTTGCATGCTGAGGGGATGGGGAATGGAGACCAAACACAAGAGATACACACGCATACGAATATGTGAAAAAGGTAGGGTCAGAAATCACAACTCCCACAGGTTTTCTTCTTTTTGTTTTTCCTTTTATGTTAAAGCTAATAGTTGTCATTATCACAAACTGCAAGTAGCGTGTCATGGGCAAGAAGACTAGGAAGAATACTACAGACAGCACAGCACGAGAATAATACCCAGAGATGACATAAGATGTGTAGATCAGAATAATTTTCCTCCTCAACCTTCCTAGTAATTAAAATTACCTCTGGCCAGCCTTGTCTTTTCCACTTCCAGAAATTATACAATAATACAACTAACCACCACAGCCACTTCCAAATCACTAAAAAAATCCATCAATTTGTCATACACTATGCATTAGGTTTCACATTTCTATTCAATACTCTAGTCTTACAAAATGACCCTCAGCTGAACCATTTAATTTTCCTCAGCAAACAAAAAACTATTTCATATATATGCTTTCTGGTTACAAAATTCAAAAGTGAGTTTAATAAGTCAAGAGGACAATGCTCACGTCATGTACTAATATCCATAAAATGCCACGCATGAAAACTGAAGCATAAATAACGGCCATTCAAATTTGGCCAAAAGAGGAGAAACAACTCAAGCAATTAATTCAGGAGGGAAGGAATTCATAATCAATCTTAAGAACTAGCCTCTAAACACTAAATACTTGATATTCATGGTATCCTTAACCATAATAAGTTACCAACTGCCCCAAAAATGTTCACTCACTTGAAGCCACCCATGCCTCTATCCACTGATACAGAAGGAGCACCCTCTAGTCTGAGGCAGAAAACAAAAGAGGATGCAAAATAAAAATAAACATAAGGGGAAAAATGACATAGCTGAGATTTAAATTAGATGATGGATAGTCATGAATGTCAGAAAGAGTTAGGATAGACTAGATAAAAAGAGGAAGGATTGAAAAGTAGGATGACTAGCAATCAGATATTACCTGGGTAAGATTTAGCAAGTGTTAGAAGGTGTTAGCATTTTCTAATCTCTTCCTGCACTTTAAAATAATTATCAACAATGCACAGGCATTGAGCACATAGGGAAGTACTCTTATGTATGCCCTCTAAACAGTAAACAAGACAAGACCAAAGAAACATAAACAAAATTAAGTAAATCCAAAGAACTACAAAAAACCACAGAACATTTCACTCCACAACCTTTTTTTCTTAGGAAAAAATTACAAAGCAATTTAGAGTGAAACTTGGTTAAAGAACAAACTTAAATATAGAGGAACAAACTTGCTTAAAGAACAAACTTAAATTTAGAGTGAAACTTGCTTAGAGAAGGAGTAGAGACATAGAGACAGAGAAACAGATAGAGATGTATATCTAATAGCATACCAGAAATGTAGAGGAAAGCATTGATGAAAGCATATAAAACAGTCGGATAAAAACTGTTTACTACAAAACAATATTTTTACAATGAGAAATACCATTGAAGAGAATATTATATCAGTAAAACTAGAAACCTATATTAAATAGAGAATATAAGCTCATTCATTTATAAGCAGAAATTCAAAAGAATCAAAATCTAGCCTCCTCAGGAAAACCAGAAAAGGCATTACAAAATTTGTTACCTTTAATAAACCATGATAAATCAAATAAAATTGTTTAAAAGAGTTTGGGAAAATGAATATCAGCATGCATATTATAATTGTATAAGTTAGGGATCTCACCTGTTTGGTTATGCTTAATTTTACACAAAAAATAGCTTTTCAGTGGAAAGCTCTGTCTTGAGCATCTTTTTTTATTATAAACTCTTGTTAGCACAGATATATAAAACAACACTACACTACAAAGGTGATAAAAACTCAATGGAGAAATATTATTAAACTGTTAATTATTGAAGACGTCAAATATCAGAAAATAATATATTAGACATGCCTCGCTTAATTTTAAAGTTTAGTTTCAGATTTCTTTAGAATCCCAACACTAAAGTATATTCAAACATCAAAACAGAGAATCAGTCATATTTTGTGTTCATCTTTCAAGCTATATCTTGCAGTATATTGGGACTTTATTTTAAAAAATTGGAAATTTTCCAATAAGTACAAAAGCGTCAATGACAGTAATATGAGATATCTCCACATAGAAGTTTTCTGTTTACCAAAAATAGTCTTAACAATTAAAACTCCTTGCTATATCCAATTCTAATCAAACTTAATTGTTTGTCTTGTGAAGACCATTCATTGCCCCCAGTAAAGCATGACAACTAAAATTAGGATCGTGCAGGCTTTAACACGGAAGTAAAATACTTTCCATTGCCCTTAAATAGGTAAAGCAAAAGGAAGAGCGCCAGCAATTTTGTTAGGCTATCAACACCTTGACTTGACATTAGTTTCATATAATTCCAGAACATTTATAATCATGAGTGAAGATGATGTAACCAACTTGTGCCTATCAAACAGCTTCCATATCAACGAACTCAAAGGTTCACCTCAAAATAAAGAATGGTCCAGTATTACACCAATCCCAACCATGAATTGTTGCATTATTGGAGAAACCAACTGTTCCCAGAACCAGAAAACTGAACTGACATAGAGAGCAGTCTATGTCATTTAGGAGAGTAAGCATATCGCTACAGAAGCCTCCTCCATCTATGGTATGCCCTAATGGTTCAACATTGAAGTCTCCATAATGCATGTAAATGTGTTGAGTGCTCTATGAAATTTGTACTTCCTTACTCATTATATCAGCCTCCACTAAACAGAACCACTTCCATAGCAGATTCCATATTAAGAGAACAAGCATTCGACAAGAAATTTTAGAAGTTATGGGCAAATAGTGCGCTGAGGTTTACATCCATATTTTAGCACTTCAGTGCACCAATTAGAACAATCACAAGGGTATGTGACAAGTTCCATCCTCCCTAAATTTCCTGTAACAGCTCACAGTGACAGCTTGCATCACTAAACATTGGATGTGACCAGTCTATTGCCACAATATCCTCAGAACAATAGCTAGGGCATTTCAGGCCAAAAAACCATACAATACCAGAAGAAGGGATGACCATGACTCAAAAGGACACAATGCAGCTGATCAAGGCCTATACAATTCTTCCTAACTGATATTCTTTGGCACAATATACCTTCTTCCTATATGAAGTCGGCTTACAACACTCCATAATTGCGGCATATAATGCTCATATGTCCTGAGTATATTGGACATGCCAAAGTTGTCACTCGTCAGTTCTATAGTCTCCCCGTTAATCCAAGATTGAAATGGACCTATAACACCATCTGCAATTCAGACAATGTAATGGAATATACCAAATCAAGAAATCACCCACTTCTGTAACCTGCACAATGCAAAGGCAAAACCAATGTTTTGCCTAAAATATAAAATCGATAACAATGACAGTAGTAGTAGTAGTAATAATAAATTTAAACTTTAAACCCGTAGGAATATAAGTATGTTCGTGTGTGAGTAAATAAACCTTATTTTAAAGGTTCTATGAAGGATTAATTACTATTAAAAGAAGGTGGGAAAGAAAGGGCAACGAAGGAGAATTTCCAATGGAAGTGCATCTCACCAGAACAAGTAGAAATAATGATGTACAATACACCAACAGCACCAAGAAACCTGCAAAACAAAACGCCATCTGAACCTAATCGAATCTAAGGAAATCTGACAAAAAGCAGACCAACAATATCTGAGAAAGCATCTGATATACTGTAATTATCAACAAAAAATTACTAATCAGCATCTTAGTTTAAGTTACAAAGACAAATATCAAAAAATGTAAAAAATAAAAAAGGATATAGATAAAACCATTATACTAAAAGACAGGAACTTCTCCCCTGATGACATATCAAGACAACAAAACATGGGAGAAGCACAGTGGAGAAGACTTTCCCATTCTTACACAAGGCAAGGGAGTAAGTCGTAACTAAAAATCGGGACATAAGCAAATGCAAAGGAAAACGGTGTACATCATGTGGTACAAGCAAATATCAATGATCCATTGTTTTATCCTTTCTTCTATGAAGAGATATTTAGTGAGAAAGCTTTCTGCGATGTCTGTCCATCATTAAGCAGCCAAAACAGACAAAAACGGATGATTTAGGCCCAGTTTGGATTATCATCTCCATAAGCAATTGTAGAAGAAAAAAAGAAAGTAAAATGAATTAAACTTCTCCCATACGTTAAGATCAATTTATGCACCTCAACTTTATGAGAAGTTGGATGAGAGAACTTCTATAAAAGTTAAGTACGTAAGTCAATTTTAAAGAGAAAACCAATGTAGTTTTCTTCTCATATAAGTGATTCTAAAATCCTAGCAGGGTAACCCGCAAAAACTTCAAATAGGCTCAATATAACAAAATGCAACAGCTATGAAACGTAATCAAAGAAAAAATCTACTACCACGATAAGATTCTTTAACCAGAGGTCCACAATCACACACGGCTTCGTAAAATAATAGCTATGTCATCCCACCACATTCGAGGATATACATTTTTTTCTCTTTATTTTTACTTTTACACGTACTACATGTAGATAGAGATACATCACATATATGTTGAGATGAAAACACATTAACTCGCGATGTTTTCTGCCAACCTCGCCAGACACTTGATACATTTCTGTCACGCAAGCCAGGGAAACACGAAACAGAAAAAAAAAAAAAACAGAAAAAAACTAGCCAGATTAAAACATCGATAAACCGTATAAATTCCCAACGGAAGTCCAAAAACCTGAACCCTAACGAACAATCTGAGGATCAGCAACATGAAAAAGACAAACTCGTGGCAGAAACAAAACAAACCGCACAATCACGGAAAACTGAAAAATCGGCTTGAAGATGAATCAAAAGCAAATAAAGAGGAAGCGAAAAAACGATCAGAAAGAAGGATGAGGCGAGTGCATACCGAAAAGAAAAGACGAAGAAAGTGTATGATCGTGAAGAAGATTCTGACAGAAGTATGGAAATGAAGGTGAGAGTATGGAATTTATAAAGAAGAATTTAGGAATCGGAGAGGAAACGGCGACGTTTGAGTGAGGATCGTAAAAACGCAAGGTGAGAGAGTTTCAGAGGAGAAGGAGAATCAGAAGAAAGGTGCAAAGGGGTTTGTTTGTTTGTTGAGAGAAGGAGACAACGAAATAAAGCGGTAGCAGCAATAAGAAAGAAAAACAAGAGGAGGAGAAATTCCTATTCTCTCCACCACCACGTTTCTTACCAGTTACCGACGCAATCTGTATGCTATGCTATATTAACTCCTCTCATTCATTGATGTTCAAAATTAGTTTAGTTTTTTTCAGTTCCTCTTTATTAAACTAATCACCAATTAATGCTTCATCAAGTTTGGTTTGAAAAAATAAATGTAAAAAAGTTTAACATTTGAAAATTCAGTTTTTGATTTTTCTTTTAAAAAATAAAAAATTATAATTTAATTATTGACTTAATTAAGAGTTTTGTCTTTAGTTCCTATTGCATTATTTTTTTGTTTTTTACTTTTTATTTTTTCACAAACTCTTTAATGATTACATTATTATGATGCCGTGATGACATACATCACCCATAAGATTGTTAATTTTATAACGATAAAAAATGTCATGAAAAAGTTAAAATAAAAACGAGATGTATTTAAAAAGAATAAAATATATAAAAAGTATTTTAATTGTGCATGTCGACACAATGCTTCATCTCTTATTTATAAATGAGAATATATGCATTAGTTTTGGTTTGGCTAATGCCTCCGTTGAAAATATCTCTGTAAGAAGCATTAGCCAGAAAGGTTCCGTTTACTTTTTCGTTTGCGAATTTGTAATGTGCTTAGGGGAATACGAATTTAGTTTTATCAAACAAAGAGGAACATATTTGAGTATTTTTTGACCTATAATTTCAACAAAACACCCCAAAAATTACAAAAGATGCGTGTCTAGTTTCTTTACCCTCCATCCATTAAAAACCAAATGCATTTTTTAATGTTAGCCACACCATCACTGTTTACTTTGTATTTGTCAGTGGCTAGCGTATTTTATTGACCCAATCCTTCAGCTACTTTAGCAATAACTAAAGTTTGGAAACGACTACATTCACTTTTTCTTATGGGGACTACTAACCCATCCTACTAACTTCAGTAATTAATTTTAAATGAAATAATTAAAACAAATTTTGAAAAAATCAACTGAAATATCAGTTATTGATGGAACGATTTCCCATCTCAAAAGTTGAAAACTCTTATGTATGGTGAGAAGTTTTGGACTTTAATGCAAAAGTTAAAAACTATGTTACTATTACTTTTAATAGTATTTTTCAAATTATAGATGAACATAATTGTTAATGAAAGTTTTGTTTGACCCTAAACTCTAAGATGAATCTATTTGAGAAGTTTTGGAGTAGGTGATGAACTTCAATTTCCAATCCAAACCCCGTGAACACTATTTCTTGAACCTTGGAATTTATGTGGTTTTGTGCCATGACAAAAACAAAATGGTACAAGATCGTGACTACAACGAGGATCTAAAGGTAATGCAGATAAATTTATTTATCTTGATTATTAAGTATTATTGTATTGGAGAGGTTGATGACTTGAGATTCCTATCTTTCTTGTTTGAGAAACAATGTATGTTATTTTTTCCATGCCAATGACTTTCGTGTTTAGACTTTAGATTTAATTAAAGTGATGGTTGAGATTTGAGAGTGGCTGAGTGATTGATGCCAAAGAAGCTGCAAAAGTTAGAATCTCTTAGATTGGGTCTTAGAAAATTTATGTCTCAAACTAATTAGTTTTTTTTTATACGAAGAAATATTATTTTGATATTTATTTAGTATTATTATTGTTTTTTTAAATATAAAAATTTATTTTTATGATATTTTATTTTTATAATATGTGTCAAATAAATGTAAATATATATTATTATATTATTATTTTTTTTCTGAAACACATTTTTTACATTTTTCTTTTAAATTTCTTTTAAATTTCTTTTGGTGATAGTGTTTGTTTCAACATATATTAAATAAAATTATTGAGCAGGTGAATTTAAGAATTTCATATTCACATTTTGTACGAGTTTTAGAAAAATATTTTCAGCATAAACAATTATTGAGAATGGATGTTTTTCATTTTCTTTTGTATTACTTCGTTCACTTGTTTTTTTTTAGATTTTAAGTAAATATATATATTTTTGAAATCATTAAATATTAATATAAAACACGCTCATAAAAAAAAAACTTTAGCTAATATTGATTAGCACAAATAATAGTGATTTGTGTCGCTTAACCAAATGATATGTAAGATTTAAATCACGTTGATATCACTTCATATATAACAAAATTATGTGGTATTTTGATTTAAGTCCTGAAATAGTAAATAAACATTTGGTTTCATGAAGATCACGTTCATAAATATTATATTTCTAAAAATGTCGTTTCGAAAAAGTATATCATCAAACAAACGTCTTCTAAATCTATGAAATTTCTCTTTTCTATTTCTGAAATCAAACAAATGTGAGTTTTTAATATTTTTACGTTGCTTTCATCTATTTTGATGAATTCAAACAAAGGGGGCAATGATTGAACCATGGATTTGGCTTAGAATTTTTCCTAGTAATAATTAACTTCACACACGAAATGAAAATTCTAATTTTTTAGTTCAATTCATGTAGTATATAATTAACTGGTATAAAAAGATATGAAGATAAAGTTTTAAATTAATTCAAGTGAGGCGTAGGATAAAAATAACATTATGCTGAAAACTTATTACGAGAGGTTTAAGAATATTTGTTATGGTAAAATTTTACCATGATTCATGATTGTTAGTTTAATACCTGTTATAGTATATTTAAATCTCTAATTTATATCTTGTTTCAAAAGCAGTCTAAAGACAATTCTTTTATATTTCTCGTCTTTCATATCTTATGTAGTTGTCGTTCTCATTTATCTTGGTCGTTGTGTCCCACAAGTCATTGTCTCCTACAAGTCTTCGTCTCCTACATGCTATCATCTCCTAATGCTTTTATATGAAAAATGTGATATGAAGTCGAGCCTCTTAACTTAATGATTGCTGATATTTTCATTAAATGGTTATATAAACCTATTTATTTATTGTTCTTTTTTTAACAACAACAATTTTTTCTTTAAGTAGTAATGAATAAAGTAATTATATATATATATATATATATATATATATATATATATATATATATATATATATATTGTGGATTTTGTGTTGGAAGTCAAGCCAGTTTTGTGGGGATGAGTTAGGCCTCAAGTCCACTTCTAACATTTTGCATTAAATATCATAATAATTTTAAAAATATTATGACTAATCCGATTATACATGCAATAGATCCACTTATTATAATAAATCTTTAAATATATTTTATAATAAATTTGAATTTTAAAAAATATGTCATAATAAATTAAATTTATTATAAAAATTTATAAAAATATGTCATAATAAATGATTTTTCAAAAATGTGACATAATAAATTGAATTTATATATAAAAGGTTTTTGAAAATGTGTCATAAGTTGAATTTACTTACTATAACGATTTCTCGAATACTTGTAATAATAAGTCGTATTATAACATGATTTTGTAAGGTCATTAGTGCGTTTTGTTTTTCCTATGTTTCATATAGAATAAATTAATGGAAAGATCTAAATTCTTTTCTAGTCTTTCCTAGTAGAAGCTTCTCTAATTAAAGCTCCACTGTAAAATTTTCTAGATATTTCTTTATTTTAAATTTTAATAACATGCAAGTTAATTATATTGGTAATCTGAACATATTAACAACCGACCTTACTCTATTGAAGCAAAACAAAAGAAAGACAATAAAAGCATCAAACAAACTAGTTAGCTAACACACGAGAGCTTGAAGATAACTTTACTTTCGCACCTGTGTAACTTTTTCTATTTATTTTCTTTATTATTTTCTTTCGTTTAGTTTTATATATATTTTTGTTTTCTGCACTGACCACTATTGTCTTTAGAGTTTATTCAGAAGATATTTAAAGAGCGGTTCAATCACTGCAGTCTAGTTATATATTCTCTTATATTATAAATATGAATTTTCATCATTTTTCAATATTAGAGAAATTTGACTTTTAAATTTTCTACTATACTTTTAAAACATGTTAATATTATATTATATTTTTAAGTTAAAGATGATTTTAGTTCTTCAATTTATATTTAAAATTGGAATTTATCTTTTTGGAAAAGCTCATATAAAAATATAAACAAAAAATTAAAAAAACTAAAAAAAAGTAATTTTTTAAAATTACATATGGGAGTCACATGGTAGTCACGTGACAGTCACCTGATATTTTAATACACATTTCGGATAATGTATTTCATCATTATTATAATATAATAATAAATTTTATATGAAATAAAATTTAATTTGGCATGTAAATAAAAAACTAAAAATATACTTAACCCAAAATTATTTGTTAACCCATAATTATCTTATTAGAAGATTGTTGTAATCAAAGCAATAAAAACATAAGAGAAAATATCTACAAAGTTAAAGCATTAAATATGATTAGCTTCGTATGGGAATTTTGTCTTAATTGAGTGAAATTGTATGCCTAAACAAAAATCCCTAACAATTTAGAGTATCTCTTGATCAATATACTTTTAACAAAAAGAAATAAAGAAAAAAAACTTTAATTGTAATGTATAATTGCATGGAATTTAAACATAAAACATTAACAAAAATAAATTTCAAATAATTCCATTAAATTTGAAGAAAATATAGCTTTTACTTCAAAATCTAAATTTTAATTTTAATTTTATATTCTAAACATATATAAAGTAATTTTTTATATTGCAAACCACATCTAATTTTGTTTTCTCATTAAAAAAACGTTAGATCTTTTTATAAACAAAAGTGTCAGATTTCATTTCCCATGTAAGATTATTCTCGAGTTTATTTATAACTTTAACAAGGTTCTAAACATGAAAATTGTTATTCTTGGATGCTAATTTTCTTAGATTGGAAATCACCCCTTATTATTATTTTTATTAAAAGAAATAAAGTTAGCACTTTCTATTATTCATTTTCCATTTGAAATTATTATCTTGGTTTTATTAAAAGATATTTTTTTTTTTTGCATGAAAACATATTAAAAGTGTAAACATTTTCTTAGTACATAATTTCTTTACTTTGATCTTGACAATGGCCACTGTGTGAAACATGAAAAAAGTTGAGAAGTTGGTGTTTATG